TCATTTGGAAATGAGATCGCACATAAGTATGAATCGAGATCGCGATTTTCTAACGATTAATCGTGCAGCCCTAAGTGCAAGTAAGGATTAATCCAACAATAGCTCTTCAAACCTGATTAAAACCCATGTTAATACACACTGTATGTGTTTGCATCATATATAGTCAGGACTACTGAGCGATGGTGGTGGACCACCTAGAACAGAGATGCCAGGGACAATGTTTTTGTCCCAGCCCATTAAAGTCAGTCTGTCGGCATCTCTCGGCTTTCATTACAACTGTTCATTTTAAAGCTCAGTCTTTAAGAGCCTAGTTTATTTTGCAGGATGTTTCACAATATGAATATATGTAATTTATCAAACACATCATATACAAAACTAATATGTGATTAAAACTATGACATTACATGTAAGCATTTAGTCTAACGTCTCTTCTTCTCCTGTCCTCTTTCTTATCTTTGTCCATCTTCTTTCCTCTCTGTGTGAAATACAGCAGCTGGACCTTTAGCTGCGACACACTGTGAGACAAACTGCACACAGACAGTTTGTGTGTTTGCTGATGTTTGTTAACACTGCATTTGAAATTAGCTGACACTTAAACATCACGCGGTGTCCGCTCGCTTCTGCAGTGCGAGCTAGATTCTGTAGACACGACTTACGGACACGTGCACTCCCACTTCATCCCCGAGTGTAAACACTAAACCTAAAGTAACCAGCCTGTTTTGAAAATGTAAGAAGTAGAAAGTTCAGATACCTGAAAAATTTACTTAAGTAACAAAGTATTTGTACTTTGTTACTTGTGACTCAGTAACATTGATACCCAGATCTAGTAGGTCACGGCTATGCTATTACTTAAAGTGTGTCTGCTGTTTCTTCTTCTACAGTTGATATTGTGGTTTCTCGTCCTCTCAGACCAGCAGGTGGAGGTGAAGGTTGTTGGAGGCTCAGACTCCGTCATCCTGCCGTGCCAAATCAAACCTGACCTGCCTGAAGACACCACAGTGGAGTGGACTCGCTCTGACCAAGAACTGGTCCATGTGTATTCAAACAGAAGTGACGACCTGACGAAACAGGACGGCCTTTACAGAGACCGAACAAAGATGAACGAAGACCTGGTGAGAACTGGAGACCTCAGCCTGACCCTGAAACACCCCACAGAGAGAGACAGTGGAGGATACATCTGCACCATCTACAGGGACAAAGACATCCTGAGACAGAAAGTAGTGCTGCAGGTCAAAGGTCAGAGCTGCAGATTAAGACCAAAGGTCAATGCAGGAGGTTAAGGTCGGAGTTCAGAGGTCATGTGTTTGTTTAATGTTTCTCCACAGAACCGTTTCCATCCTGGGCCACAGCTCTCCTGGTTTTCCTGCTTCTTGTTCTGGTTGTTTCTGCGGTTCTTTTATTTAATTTCTGGCATCACATCATGTCATGTGAGTGTCTCCTACTACACTACCCATAATGCCACAGCATGACTTTACTAAATAGTGTGTGCTGCATTGATCTGACACAGAGGCTGCATGTGTACAAGCTGTTCTTCTTCTGTGGTGGTAAACAGCAGCTGACATGGAAACATGTGCTGACAGTAAATGTTGCAGCAGCTTCAGTAAATGTTCCTCCTTGAGTTGTGCTCAGTCATGTGGTGGAGAGCTTCAGATGTTCAGACACATGAGAGCTTCATGGTTTCTGTGCTGATGTGTGTGAGACATGGCCGACTGTGGAGGCTCTGATTATTTCATGAAGTCTTATCTCGGCTTCCTAGAACCTCTCCTGCTCAAGCTTGTGAACATCACCCTGTTGTCTCGTCACACAGCAAACTAAAGATCCAGGAAACACAAGAAATTGAAAATAATCAAATCTAAAATGAAACACATATTTAAAAAGAGCTAATGTATTAGCTCTTTTTAAATATTAGTCTTTTTTAAACAACAAATAATGTGCAAATAGGAAACTAAAAATATTTTCTGTCCACAAGTTCAATAAAGATTCAAATGAAGTCAAAGCGATTTTATTTTCCAGTCCAAAATAAAGTCTCCAACTTCTACAGATGAGTCATTTTATAAATTCACGACAGCAGTGGACGTGCTCTGGAGTGAGGCTCACGCTTATCTTTGTTCCCAGCTGCTGATAACCTGCTGAAGAAGCTCTGTCATGACTTCAGCCATGTGGGAGGTGCATGAGCCTCTTTACAGGACAAACTCATTCATATCCCTGTGCTTTTATTTAGTTTATGTTTAGAATTACCTCTAAAAACCTGCTGTTACCGTCTCTACAGCTCATGTTGTGTTCATTGTCTTCTCAGTCATTCCGGTGGAGGTGGAGGTGGTGGAGGGGGCGGAGTCTGTCCAGCTGCCCTTCAAAACCACAAAAAACCTGCCTGAAGATGTTAAAGTGTTGTGGGAACGCTATGATCCCAGAATGAAGGCCCACGTGTATCACAACGGCTCCGACCTGCCTGAAGAACAGAGCGAGGTTTACAGAGGCCGGACGAGGATGAGGGGAGACCCACTGAGGACTGGAGACCTGAGCCTGACTGTGGAACGGCCCACGGAGGGAGACGGTGGGGAGTACAAGTGTTTGGTGTGGAGGAGGGGAGACTTCATCAGAAAGAAAACCGTGAGGATCAGAGTCAAAGGTGTGTGTGTGTGTGTCTGTGTGTGTGCGTGTGTGTCTGTGTGTGTGTGTGTGTGTGTGTGTG